CATGAAATGCAGGGAAGCGGAAAGGCAGGCACTTCCCAGTGAAAGGCTTGGTGCTGCCGTCTCGTGGGAAAAGGGAGAAGGGAAGCCTTGATACTAAAAGCAGAAATGCAAAAAGGGGAGGAAAGGGAGTTTGTAAACTTGTTAACATCAACACTCCCATTTTAGTTTCAAGGGGGCTGTGTGCTTTATTGCTCACAGATCAGTTTCCTTTGCAGGTGATGTGGGCCCAGAATTACATCACCAGCAGAGCAGCCAAGAGCATCTCGGTGCCAGCATGACTGAAGCCCAGAGGAATGTATTATCACAGACCTCCGAGGGCCTTGCCAGTGCATTCCTTGCTGGGGGTGCTGCAGTGGGGAAGGCAAAGGGGAGACAATTTTACGTGAAGACTGAAAGGGAACTTTGTGGGGGAAAGAGCTGGGGTCACAGTCTTGCTGTCTCCTCTAGGCAGATCTAATTATGGCCATGTACTTCAAAAAGAGGGTTTAACTAAAACCAGATTTAGCAGGGCAATGCTTAGGAAACACAGACTGAATCCTCAGCCTTGCCTTTGAGGAAAATGTGAAATGCTTCAATGCACTGAGAACACTCACAGTGCTTGTAAAGAATAATTTGAAGCACTGAGGACAGCAAGAACCAATATTAAATCCTCATCACTTCAGTGAATACAATAAAGTATTCAGCCTTGCAATAAAATATGTCTATACTTTAGCACAGACAGCACTGAGATACTGGGTATACATTTCCTGATCTATGTGGTGGGGTGACAGAGTCTCAGCAAGCTCAGGGATCGTGCTGGAAATGATCAAATGACTCACAAAGCAGTCACACGGATGGATCCCCCATAACAGAGCTCCAACAGAGCCTTTCTGCCACATCACACCCTCTGTTTGGCAACCTACTTCTCATCCATATAAAGAAATTCCCTGCTCCTCCTTTTTGCAGGCTTTCAGGCTATTTCTTCTATCCATCCTGGATGGCAGGACTGGCTCAGTGGTCTTCACCTCAAGCCTCTTTCTCAACCTTTAAAATCAATGGGAGCTTTGCAGTGCTTTTAATAGGAGCAAAATGCGCTGTCAACCAACAGGATTAAAAGAAGGGCACAAGAAAAAATTTTCAGAGATTAGCACCTCTAAAAATGTTAGCATTTTAAACCTCATCTCCTAGGTCAATCAAAACATCAAAGAAATGCTGAGATTGCAAAGATCTCTATCCATTTCCACCAGAAAAAAAAAGCCCTGCTGATCAAATGAAAAAGTCCATATTTGATGAACCCAACCCTGCCCCCAGGTCCCTAAAGGGAAGGCAGGAGGGCTGGGACTAGGCAGCACAGGGAACAGCCAAGTACCAGTTCATGTTAAGCCTGCTTTATACTAGAATTTTTGGGGTCATGAAGTACCAATAGCTGGTTTAGCTGTGCCCAGCTCAGCCCAAAGTCACGCCACCAGCTCCCTCCCCAAAGCACAGCTGAAGTTCATGAGGGTGCCTCTGCTGGGAAGACTGATTTTATCCCTGGGGCTGCTGATGCCAGCTCTGCTGCTCTCCAAGTGCCCCCTGCAAGCCACAGCACCAAGGCAGTTCTGACCAGACCCTTCTCCACCTCTCAGACCAGAGACTCCTTACACCACCATCTTTCATCCAAGTCTTTGAGGGGGCCTGGGGGCCTTCAGCTCTTCCCCATATTCCTCAGCCTCCTCAGGAGGCTCCAGGAAGATGTCTGTTCTGCATTCCCCAGAGTCAGAGATACCCAAGCACAGCTTGATGTTAGAGAAACAGCAGCTGAGGTGGGCAAGCATTGAAAGGGGAAATCTGATAGCACAGAAAAATAGAAAATACTCTCCATAACTTTCAAACATCATTAGATACTATTATAGCACACTATAGGGAAATTTGCAAAACGCTTCAGCCACCATGTCTGTAGAAGCACCCTCCACTAAAAGTACCAGATTTCTTTCATCTCCACCTGGCAAATGGTCATCACTACTCTTTTCCTGTAACATGCAAACCTTTTCCACAATCTTTCTTCAGGTCAGTTGCACTTGGTCTTGCAGAGCCAACCGCAAAAGTGAGGCCCTTCAACCATCTCCATTTACCCCCACATCCCCAGCTGTCTACATTTTGAATATCCCAGTGCACAATTTTCTCTTTTTCATATTTTTCACGCGTCATTATTTTTGAGAAATCATGTTTTCCTGTTACTTCCTTCCTGTATGAGGCTGGCCTAACAATTATTCACTCATAGGAACTGTTTGCTTTCATAGCATGTTGTTGTAGATGGATTAGAGATAATGTATGAAAGCGCATGTAAAAAGTGTTCCAAAGTAAATACATTAAGAGAGTGTCAGACATACATTAGAACTGAGGCATATTTCTTTCTTAAAGAATCCCCTTTTTGCTTTGTTCAAACTTTTTCACAAGACAGCAAAAGCAGATGTGGCCTGCGAAAGTTGATGTAGACAACAATGGTTCGGGAAGATGGATAAAATGCTGTGAGGAAAGAAACTGCTGAAATTACTTAGAGCCAGTGTAGAAATTATTACTTCTCTCATTGTAGCAGACTGCTGTGAGATGGCCATCCTGCAGCACTGTTCTTCCTCTGGCTCACCCTGTCTCATTAACATTATAACTGCGAGTGCAGCAGAGTGGCTGACGGGCAAAGTTCAACTCTGTGTCCCTTTTTGTTTTCATGGAGACTACAAGTCTGTTCAGCTCTTAATAAAATAACCCTCAAAGTACCACAGTAAAATGAATTATATGTATAGTGGTACTTATAAAACAAGAATGGCTATGCAGGACCTTAAAAATGCCTTTGGGCAGGTCAGTTCTCTGTCCCAATATGTAGACTGAGTATGAGATTTTTGTATGCTTTAATCTCTTGCAACCTAATTTTTCCACTTCTAACTTTCTTTTTGACAAAATCTATTGCCACTTTGGGGCTTTCCTAAGAAGTCCCTCTCACCTCTCTTTCTTTGTGAAATCCTATCACCCTCTCTTTCTTTGTGAATATAGCCCTCAAACAATACTACTTCTAGTTTTTAATATCTACAAAGACGTGGGTGCAGCCTCAGTTTCATATGCACTCAGAAAACAAAGGTAAAAAGTTGAGATTGTTTAAGACTTTATGCTTAACAAGTAAGCCCATCCTGATTTTGCCAATCTGCTCTGCAAGTGATCTGAGAGGAGGAACCTGAAGAGGGAGGTACATGCATCTTGGTTTTCTATGTTTAGCTGCATGTCATGTTCCCTCTGCTTGGCCACTACTATCTTGAAACAAATTAGTGTCATAGACAAACAAAGTGGAATGAATAGCAAACATCAGATTTCTGGTGCTACTCAACATAAATCAAAAGGGCTTCAGCACTGCAATTATTGCCCTGCAGCCACCTGTACAGAGGCACTGGTGAATAAAGCCAGTGGATTTAGTTGCTCTTAAAGATCTGCTTTCAAGAGAAATTCAAATTCAAATTTTTCTTTTCTTATTGCTGTTTTTCTAAAAATTGTAGAATGTAGAAAACTTGAAGTTTGAGAGAGCAGGAAGGGTAAGAGAAAATGACCACAGATATGGGACATGATCTCTTAGTGGCAAGACAAAAAGCTCTTTAATCACTTCATTAAAGGAAGTAAATTCAACCCAGGTCATAATAGTAGACTATTTAGTGGCTTTCACACATTGAGAGGGAATAATAAGAAGGCAGTAATTTTCACATTAATGTGAATATTAAAATGTAAGGACAAATGTAAATGGTATTTTAATACCACTTTTGTAGCATTTTAGTGGCTGCATGTCCACACATACATGCATATTCAGCATAGAGACAAAGTGTATTCTATGAGAATCAGATGTGAAGTTGCTCCTTACTTGAAAATACAACATCTTTTATTTCTTAAAGCATATTTATTTTTACATTTTTTCTTTTCTGCTGTGAGAATCAATTTGCATAGATGCAGAAGCATTTTTGTTCTCTAAAATTTGCCAATCAACCCATGAAAGTAAAGACAGAACAAAACCAAAACCTATTAAACTAGGAAATATGGTCACTGTAGCTCATGTACCACCTACTCAAAGTTGGCACTGAACTGAGTTCAGGAAATACACTAAACAGTTTTGCTCCTGGCTTTTTGCAAATGTCTGCCACAAGCCTGTGGTTTCCTCAAAAGCATTTCTTCTTTGAACTTGCCTTAAGTATTTTTCTTAGAACTGTTTAAAAAAAAAAAAAAAAAAAAAAAAGAAACACAACATGGATTGATTTCAAGCAGTTTGGTATAAGCAAAAAAATTTCATATTGACAAACTGAGGCTGTTACTGGTGCTCAGTCTTCAGCTAAGGTAAGTGATATCTTTCTTTTCTTAGAGACACAGAGAACAAATTACTCATCCAACAAGCAGGATAAACACTCAAAAAAAAGAAATGTGGGGTGTATGGGACTGTGAGATAAACACCATGACAGATAATCCATCACAGGCTGGGCACATTTTGTGAGCATGATAATATTTTCTTCCAGATAACTTGCCTGAGGCATGCGTCTTCAAACTATGAAAAAGAATGCAGATGGTTTGTGACTTTGCAAGCCTAAACGCAAAGGGCATGGCAGAGTCCCACCACTGGTGTGCCGGTATCCTCATGTGTGTTGTGGTTTTCCTTACCTGCCCTCCTGCTGTGACAACAGTGCTCTGTCCCTCACAAACTCAGCACTTAGCTAAGCAAGCCAGTCCCAAACTTAGCCAACACAAATGACATCTGATCAGAAGCTACCTGGAGGTGAACGCAAAATGGCCATGACAAATGCAAAACAAATTTGTTTCTTAAGTCAAGCTCACACTGCAGGAACATTCAGCGGTATTCCTCCAGCTCCAGACTTGCACAGTAACGTGTGTACAAATGACAGGAGTGGACCAACATTTACAGATGTTTTACACAAAAGTTTAGTGTCATTTTAATACAGAAATTCCTGGCTGTGTCACTGCTGAAGGGACAAGCACTGGGGGGGACTTTCACTCACCTCTCCCGCTCCTGTTCCAAGAGGTTGGTGAAGTCATCGCTCTTGTTCATGTAATCTGTGTGTTTGTGTTTCTCGTTCTCCAGCTCGTAGACGGTGCGACGATGGCACTTCTCTGCCAGCAGGAGCTGCTCCAGCATGCGCCGGTACGTCTCCTTCTGCTTTTCTTCAAGTCTGTCCAGCTGGATGGTAGGAAGGGAGAACAGACTGTTTTAAAGGTCTCCTTGCTTACTTCATCTGATTTATTGACCAACAATGTTGTGTTTGGTAAGTGCAAGTCCCGTAATTATATGTCTTGGGTTTTACATAAAGCAGTGACTAGAAATAAGAATAACTGCCCTGTGAAAGTAATGATTTATTTGGATGACATATTAGCAATAAACATTTGCACAGTTTTCAGATGCACAAAGGACAGAATTTCACTCAGCTTTAGGGTAACAAATAATATTGTTGCAGTGCTGTATTTCCCCTGTGGTGAGGTGCTGTGCTGTGCTTTCTTCATTTCACTGGGAAAAAGCTGTAACTCAGAACTCAGAGCCTGGGAGCCTGAATTCACACACCTGTGTGGGGACTGGACACGTGCGCGAAGAGCGTAAAGTGTAATTTGAAGACTGAAATTTGAGTTACACATCTTTAACACACCTGTAACTCTGCTCAGATAAAAGACCCAAATTATTTAGATTCTGTCCAGATGCAGTTTTACATTACCAAATACAATTCAATATAAGCCTTAGGAATTTCCCCTCAGCCTGTTTTTTGACAGAAATTCTCTTTATTTATTCACAACCTTTTACCCTTTTTGTCCTCTGCATTTTTTATTAATTTAATATGCCAACTATTATTCAAACAAACAGGAGAAAAAAAAAACCAAACAGGAAGGTGTGTCTACAAACTTGCCGGAGCACTCCAAATCCATCATGGCTATTCATGTTGCTCCTTTTGCTCTTTCTTGGGTGCAGATGATCAACTCCAGCCTCCTCCCTGCCAAAGCAGCCCTCAGCCTTGGTACTTGTCTGGTTGCTCTGCCCACTCCCAACCCTTGCCCTGTGAGAATCGCATCTTCCTCAGCCCCAGCTGCCCTGGGCTGCTGTTGTTTCACATCATATCTCAGTAAACTGAGGGAAATAAGAGAGCAGGAGGACCATGGCAGTCTGCTCTCCAGAAGCTGACCATAGCAGTCAAAGTGAAAAAATCATTGCATTTTATCAAAGAGCCAGGTTGGATTCAGCTTTTCAGAGTAGATTTTTGCACTTAGTTTTTCTACTTTATTTCAATGTAAGCCTTGTGAATCTGTGCATGACAAAAGTTTTACATTGAGGTCCCTGTCAAATTTTCAGCTTCTTTGGAAAAAAGCCTTGCTAAACTCTTTTAATCTTGTTTGACAGGATTTTATGCATGCTCCCACATACTATGGTTTGATTTCCTTATTTACTAACATCCCAAAAATTCCAGGAGATGCTTCAATGAGAATACACAGTACAGAAATATCCCATGGTAGACACAACTCCTGGTGAGCAAATTAAATGTTCTAATTAGATGAACTTTGTTGTTGCATGCTCCTTCCCCATGACCTGGACTGTTATGAAACTATGAACAGGAGCAATGGCTGTTTATTTTGGCATTCACTCTGGCCTCAGACATTCTCAGGTCTACTCTAATTCTCAGGTCTACTTGACATTCATTTATTGCTTAAATTTTAAAGCAAGGAGTCCTGTAAGTTTCCTTTAGGGGCTGAATTGACTTTACAGTCCTAGAGTTTAAGTGATGTAAAATGAATATGGATTTATGATCCCATAAATATGGTCAAAGTCAATCTCCAAAGGTCTTCTTTTCTTAACTACCCTCATGACAGTGTTCTAGTATGCCAAGAAAATCAAGGAGTAGTTACCAGTGCTGTGAGCAGTAGAGGTTGAAGCCTGTAATTGAAAGGAATTTAAAAACTAGAAATTTAACACTCAAAGATTTTGGTCTTGCTTAACAGCACCAGCCCTTGGAAGAATACAACCTCTTTATGATTTGTGTTCAAATCCAGTGACTTCGCTTACAAATTATTCTGTGTATGAGTGAACAAGATTTTGTTTTCAGTGTACAAATCCCGTGTAATCCTTGTGCATGCTTTGAATACATCCAAAATATATGGAGTCTCACTTCTGGTTAGGCTTCTCCCTGCACATACATAATAATCAAGAAGTTGTTACCTCTGAAATTGGTTTCTCGTAGACATCTTCCCCTACAGACTTTTCTTGGGCGAGGATGGCATCCCTGTGCAGCACTCGAAGCACGTGCTCTGGAGTTGCAGACCCATAATGAGCTTCTAAAACTTCAGGTTTGGTTTTCTCTGTCTTCAGCATGTGGATCACATCCTCCCTTGCCTGTAATATTGCAAATCACTATCATGAGTCAACTTATTAACCAAGAGGGAGCATGGGGAAAATGGGGGCATTTCATATGTACAGACTGCATACACAAAAATAAAATAAATTAGAAAAATGACAGGTTGTCAATGCAAATATAAAAATGTTGGGAGATCTCAGATTAAACATGATCAGTCCAATACAAATATTGTACTTTAAGGGATGAATTATTCTGTTCCTGTATGACATTACATTTGAATGATATGAATTTTTATCTGAATTGCAACTATAGCCAGAGAACATCATTATTCTTCATAAACTGGATTTTAGTTGTTGCCCATGGTGTTCCCTGAAGGGACAAGGAAATGAGGAGAACAAGCAGCACAAGGGAGCTGAACTAATATTTCTCAGACAGTTACCTCCTATTCACTCCCTAACTGAATTTGTGGCTAAATACTCTTTTCAAGTAACCTTTAAAATAATTTTTCTTTTTTCCTTTTTTTTTTAAACAAAACCCTAGACATTGCAGACACCAGCTAACGAGACATGGTAAGTCTGAGCAAGTCCTCCCAGCCATGGAGGAGGGCTGTGCTGCTGGAGCAGGGGCTGGGAGCTGGGGTGCCCCCAGTTCCAGCAGCAGGAGCAAACACCTGGGCATGACCAGGCAGCTCTGCAGGGCCACCTGGCTACGCACAAGGAGCACTTCGGGGCTGTGCTGTGGACAAACACTTAAGCCAGGGCTCTGTTTCTAATGATGCTTGCCAACACCTGTTAAGCCATCTGTAAACTGGGGGCAGGGCACCTGCTTGTCCTTCAAGGCATGTTTATGAGGCCATAGTCCAGGGAGGAACTGTAAAACCTACAGGCTCTTGGTGGGCTCCTGGATTTCCCTAGAGAACATCTTTCCCACAAGTGCAAATGGATGGGGGAGCAGAAGAGTGTGGGCATTTTTCTCTTGCCCGCCTTTCTGACAACCCATGTGAGCTTGGGAAGTAAATTAAGCACTAAGGAAAGGTTCAGACATTTTAGGAATAAATTCTTTACAAATCCTGCCCCTGTGCAAGCAATGACTGTTTTAAGATTTATGAACTGACCAACTCTTCACGCTTTTCCATGCCGTTCATAACTGCATTCAATTCATCCCTGTAGCAAATCTTAAATCTTTACCCAGAACCACAGAGGCACCACAGCTCAACAAAACTACTTGATTTGAAAATGAGCAAGAAAATAATTTTTGGAAATGGCAAAGATCCTTTAATTTTTTTTTTAAATTTAAAACAGTCTAACATGAAAATAAGTTATGAACTTCAGGCAAAGATCATGCCATCTAATTAAGAACTAGCCCAATATATGTAACATTATGCATAACATTTTGTAGCCTGAAGTAAAATATTTGCACTTGCCTGCAAGATACAAAATGCAAATTGGAATGGTGTTAATCTTATTCCAAAATGAGAGCAGGAAAGGTTCATCACTCATGGATGTTACATTATGTGAGCTAGTCCCAAAGAAAGGCAGAAGACCATGTACACCTCACTACATCACATCCTAAGGCTGTGCCATTCTCAATACAGGAAAAATGTTATTTTAGGCAGGTTTGTGAATGTATTACTTTTCTCTATCCCTGTAGAAATAACAGATGTCTTAGTGTCTTCATCACCATGGGGCCAATGCTTCTATATTGAAGAAAAAGCTTTTAAAAAGTCCAGTAGGATAGCATGGGAGTATGGAGGGATTCCTAAAAGTCCAGATTTTATGATGTGTTGTCTTAAGCCCTTTTAGGAAGAGGCAGTGCTGAGGCCATGAGGTTCATCCTGTCCCAATGAACTAATTTGGTATCCTGCTGTGTGCTTCCCTGTGCCACAGGCAAAGGGAGCACCAACACAGAGGGATGGGGATGAGGAAGCAGCTCCCTTCTACCCTCTGCACCAAGGGACACAACCAATCATGTTGAAATGTTTTTTTGTTTTGATTCTGAGCACACAAAGCTTCATGCTCCACACAGCCCTTTCCTCAGGGACAGGCACATCTCAGACCCTGTTTGGGAGGGGAGGAGGATGAGTTCATTCTCTCCCGTTGGAACTGTGGGGCCCTGGATGGCAAAATTAAACACTGGCAGGGCTGGGCAGAGCAGACAGAGACAGCTCAGGATTGGGGATTTAACACTGTGAATAGGCAGAGCAAAGAGCTGGACTCCATTCCCTGTAGTGGTTATTTGATACAGAAATAGCTGTGCAGGCAGCTGCTCTGCCCAGCAAGTGCCCCTGCCCTGTTCAGTTGTGCACTGCCTGACTTTCCTTCAGGCCTCATTAGTCTGTCATCACTCACTGTTCAAATGGAGCAACTTTAGCACAAGGGAGTAGGAATAAGAGCCCCTGAAACAGCTAAGAGTATCCCTGCTAACTGAGAAGGGCTTCTGGATGCTGCAGGTTTGGGTCCCCCAAAAGCCAGAGGGAGTCAAACCAGAGGGAGCCAAGCCAGGGGAATGGATGATGCTGAATGGAGGAACTGACACCCCAAGAAGGAAAATAGGTGCCCAAGCTCAGTTCAGAACTTTGAAGAAAAAAAACCATTCGTTGCTTCATCTTTAAAGGGAAGCAGTGATGAGCCTGGCTCCAAGGGAACGGGGCAGGACAGTCAGCACCGAACAGCCCTTGCTCAGCCCATGGGAGGGTACCTAGCCCAGAATCAGGCTGGTTGGCACCATGCCCTGTCCTGTTCCCTTCCTGGGTACCCCACACTCTGCTGGCCCTCAGATTTGGATGGCCTTAATGGGGCAAGCTGCCTTTTGCCTTTTCTGGGCTCAGCCATTTCTCCTATCCTTATCTTCTCAAGGGTATCGGTTAATTCACCAAGGACTTTGTTTCAGTTGTGATAACAGCTTGTGAAAAACAAATGACAAACAGACACACAGGTTGCTAGGAAGCATTGGACCAAAAAGGGAACCTAATGCTAATAATAAACTGGAGACAAATTTGCTTTTATTTGGTCAGAAACAAGCTCCATCACAGGGAGATTCTGAAGGGCAGCTAACCTAGGTCAGAGAGACATCCAAGCAACATCCATCAGCTTGGGGTTTGTGAATTCCAGTCAGGCTCTCTGAAACTCCTCAGGATGATATAGAGGGAAGGAGCTGGAACAGCATGCCTGTGTATCTTGTGATTTCCTATTTCTCCAGATGACCAATTTTCCCCTGAAACACCTAGAAGAGAGGTCAGGTAGAGGTGTTTTCTTCCAATGTATAGTGATCTGCAGGAAGCAGACCATCTTCAGAAAACAAGTCAGAATAATCCTGCAGAGGAGCGCTGGGGCTACTTCAAAATCCGTACCTGTGAATTTTGAAGTAGCATACCTTTGAGCACGAGAGACTCAAAGTGGGGGTCCCTAGCTAAGAAGAGGGAGTTTTCAGCAAGCTGTTTCTACTGAGGGACATCTGCTGCTGGTGCCTCTCTTGCCCCAAAGTGCAATCCTGTTTTGTGTAAATCATAAGCTAGGACATAAACACAAGGAAGGTATTTCAAACTGCGAGTAAACTTGTGTATAGATGCCAGAGAACAGTTTTTAGCTGCTTTGGTAGAAGGAACATGATTTTTGGTGCAGGAAAATCATCTCTCAAGTCCTGCTTTTGTTTTGTTTTGTTGGTGCTGTGATGAGAAAGAGCATCCAGGCTTGAGAAGACTGCATATTGCAACAGCTTGTAACACAATGAAACTTATTTGCAAAAGTCCAGAAGACTGCAATTAGTCAGAAAAGCTCTTTTAAGTCAAAATATGGAATTTAAAAAATTTACTTTTATTAGTTTTTCATTACTTCAATTGTCCTAGAGAAAACACTGAGCTACCTTTCTGTCTATATTGTTAAGGTTGTGAATTCTTGAAAAAAAAGATACTTTTCCATTAATGAAGTGTCCCAAGTACCAGATTCTCTAAGCAGTAGGAGCAATAAAGACAGATTGAAGATGTACTCATTTAACTCCTTCGGTTGCTCCTGCTGATAGAAGAACTGTAAAGTTGAACTATGTCTAAGCTTGTTTTATGCTTACTGGAGGTGCCAAAATCTAAAGGCTGATGACCTCAGCTCTTGAGCACGCCATGGATGGCCTGAGGTGCTGGGGAGCACTGCTGTCCCACAAAGTTTTGCCTGCTCTCCTTTCCCTCCCCTCCATTCCCCACTCATGAGTGCACTTACCAAAGAGATGGGGTCTGTGTTACTACCTGGGAAATCCAAGACAATGCTCCCCTTCTCTCATGAGTGCACACTGCTTGCCCAGATGGAAGGCTGGCTCTCACTTTTTGGCAGAATAAAGGAGAAGGACTTTGTTGTGCTCACCGAATGAGCGGAGCAGGGGGCTGTGTTCCAAACCTCGCCTTACTACACGCCTAGTAAAATATTTAAAAGATATAGAAAGGATGTAAAGAGGTTCCTGCATAAAATTGAAACCATTTAGGAAACAATGGCATGACTCTGCTGCTTGTAAAAGGGGTCTGGCAGCCTAGCAACCAGATTCGTGGTCAATGGAAAGACTGTTACGCGAGCTGGGCGTTCAGACGTGCCTCTTCCTCATGCCCTGCCCTGCCAATTTACTACAGCCCTCTCTCCCCATTCCCACAGTCTTTGGCCTCTCCCATGAGCCTGCTGACAAAACTCAGCACCCACTAAACGGGGAATTTTTGCCACAGGCCATTTGTCACCTGGGAAATGGGACTGAACTGATCAAACTCGTTTCTTATAAGGCATCTAGTAAATCGGGGGAAAAAATTCACTTGTGCTCAAGATGGGTTGAATGGAGTTGAAGCAATCACTGTTTTACACTGTCAGGTGTAAAACCCAGCTCAAGATCATTTGCCAGTACATGTCTAAACTCTTCTCCTGATTCTTTTTCCTAAGTAGCCTTCCTGCAAATTCATAGTTTGTATCTCAAAATCAGTTACTGGTACCTATTACCTTCATAGCTCCACATCTGGAGTCATCTAACTACTTTAGAGAAATCTCTATATTTCAGTAACATGACAACAATC